TTCCTTTATCTCTCCATACCTGAGTCCTAACATCTCTCTCTCTCTCTCCCTTTTCTCAACAAACCTAAGTCAATCTCCCCATTTCTTCCCTTACTTTCCATTCCTCTCCATGATCCAAGCCTATAATCTCACCACTTCCCTCTTTTCCTTACCCTACTTAAAACCCAACACATAAAACCCATCAATCTCCTCTCCTAACCCTACCTAAAATCTTACAAAACCCACCTCTTCCCTCCTCTCCTCATCCTACCCAAAGCCACACAAAACTTCATCACTCATCTTCCTTTCCTACCATCTGAAATCAAACACATATAACCCATCACTCCTCCTCGCCTTACCAAAACTGAAACCACATATAACCCATCACACGTCTCTTTCCTACATTAACATGAAACTAACCCACAAGACCCATCACTCCTCTCCTCACCCTATCCAAAAGCACACAAAGCCCTCAACAATTCTCTTGTTTCTCACCCTACCCAAAAAATACACAAAACCCATCACTCATCTTTCTCTCCCTTAGCCTACTCGGAACCCCTTCTGTCTCCCTCCTCTTCACCTTATCTGAAAACCCAACAAAAAAAGGAAAAAGAATATGCTATGTGTGTACGCCATGTAATGTGAAAACCATGTGGTTAGTGCTTATGCTTCATGCTAAAAAAAATTGTGTTTAATTATGTGCTTATGTTCCATGCCAAAATCCCACGTTTTATGTGATAATCTCCTATGCAAACCTTATGGGATAGTTTTATATGTTTCATGCAAAATCCATGTGATGGTATATAAACATCCAATGAAAAAGAAGTTGAAAGAACAACTTAAAAAATAAAAATATCCAAACCTAAAGGAAACAAGATAACTAGTATATAAGCTAGAATACCAAAAATAAATATATTACTAAATAAGTTGCTTCTGAGGCGACGATATACCAAATAACTTGGTAGAACTTTTATAAGTAAATATAAATAAGTGAGTTTGATTAATAAAACTCAGCAAGTAACTAATATTTACTATAATATAAAAAGATAAGATATTGGGGCATGCAATATGAATAAAAAATCAACAATTTACTATACATATATCTGTCAAAAAGTGGATGGAATCAAGTAGTTGTCTAATTTTTATGATAATATAATATCTAAATATATTATGACTTCATTTAATTTAATTTCTAGTACAACAATAAATATGCTCATTCATTTAAAAAATTGCAATCAATAAGTATCTCTCTAAGAAATTAGATCTAGTAAAATCATATCTAATTAATATATGACGTAGTTGTCATTCAATTATTTAATTTTCCTTCAACTTATATTATATTTATCTATAGTGAGTTTACCCAGACAACCTGAGATCACGAAGGTAAACACCAACTTAAGGCAACTTTATGATTTTTTATAAAGTTATCATTTTGTGTGCACATTATTCCTACTAGCTAATATCCAACATAGTTCTATCGATCTACATACCAATGCACATAAGCATATAGTTTGTAAATATTCCAACAAACATTTTATAAATAAAACGATCAATATTAGAAACATGATTATCATATGAAAAAACCTCCTATAATTAACTAAAGTAAAATGCAAGAAAAGAAAACACTAAATCTATAATATTTAATCCAATTTGCATGAATTTATGCAATAATAAAATATGATAAGATATTATCTCATTATAACTAATAAAATAATCATACGATATAAATTCAATAAAATAATAAAATACAACGATGAGATTTATAAACCTACACAATAACTAGGAATTTAATACTAGCAATAAGAGTAACATCCCAACATTGAGTGGTGCATTTCTCATCAAACAAATGACAGTTACTTCCCTTAAGAGAGCACTGTGAAAATTTCAAATTATGGAGGTACAACAAACAACTTTTAGACTCAATTCAAATATTCAACACAATACAACTACACATTAATTACAAGCATGCAATGAGGGCACAAAAAACAACCTTATTATTAAAATAGAATAATTTAATTGATTGGAACGAAATTAAAATCAATTCAATGTAATTATAGTTATTGCAAAAATTTATTCTAGCATATGCTCTAAATCAACTTGTACCCATTCTTTTTACAGCCTTCCCTCGAATAACAACTAGGCTAATTAAGATAATTACAACATACTTTAAATAAGTTAATCCAAAGTCAAGTAAGAATAAATTATGATTTTTAAAGCAAGAACCATAAATATTAAACTAAATCTTGCATTGACCTTTAGGGTCATTATTAAAAGTGCATAAATAATCTATTATACAAATAAGAAAGATGACAATTAGAATAACCTAAGCTAAGTGGGCTGTTTGGCATAATGTATACTAAAAATGTGCCCATGCCATTCTTAAACAAGTCTAATAGTAGTGAAAGGTCAGTTCAGCCGACTAAAATCCATCCAGTCGACCTATGAACTGCCAGTCGGCTGAAGGTCTATCGGGCAACTGAAGCCTTGTCAGCTGACCGAAGACCAGTCTAAAGATTGATGGACAATCAGATGACCAAAAGCCATCTAGCTGACAGAAGAGTTGTCTGTCAACCGAAAGTTATCTAGTTTACCGAAGGCCAATCAGACGACTGAAGACAAACCAGACGGTTGCCAACCAGATGACAGAAGGTCAGTCAGTCCTAAGGCAAGCCCAACCGACTGAAGAGTTGTCAGGCGACATGCTTCGGTATGCAAAAAAACTAGAATACGTTGTACAACCTCTATAAATAAAAGGGACCTTTCATGTATTAAGGGTTCTTGGGCCCCTCTCTTGTAACTTTCAACGATATAAAATGGGTTGCAGAGTCCAAGAATACCCCAATTTGTCCCAAAGGGCGATTCACAATGCACTCTTATTTCTCTCTCCCTCTCTCTCTCTCTTTCTCTTCCTATTTTACTTCTCTCTCGCTCTTTCTCATGTTTCACCCTCTATTCCTTTGGTGTGATTCATATGAAAAATATGTACTTAACATTCTAAAATTCTGACAGGTGCAGTGAGTGTGGATCATGCCACCAACAAGAAGAGGAGCAACAGCAGAAGAAGGACCGAGAAACAAGTTTGGCCGAGTCAGGTCCCAATTGACTCATTTGAAATAACCAAAAGTTTGGATGACAAAAGGGCTGCTAGTTGAGCAAAGGTCCGCTAGTCGACTAAGCTCTAGAAGATTAAAAGTCCAATAGTTTAAAAATCATGTTTTCATTATCTTTCAAGAGGCCCTAGCTCGGAGGCAAAAACCACACCCCTAAAACCGACAACCATCTTCCAACAGTCAAAGAGCTCAACTAGGGGAAAGGCGACTAGTGGCATCTCGCTAGCGGTCGATCAACATTGGTTAACAGATACCCAGCTCAACGATAAAATGAGTTCTCATTTCAAATATATTGTTTTGTTTGAAAAATATATAAACTTTTCTGATTGTGTTTTCTTATATTTGATCTAGACTTGGGGAACTCGAAGAGTTCACATGCATCTGCATTTAAGCCAATACTCGGGGAACTTTGACCCGAGTAAAATGATTGACAATGACGTAAGATGTTTGATCAACATTAAAATAAAAATCAACCCTCAAAGCAAGCATAAAAAAACACATGCCTCTAAATTTGACACAAATAAAGCTATGGAGGTTGTTCCCTGCCCAGTAATGACAAGCTCTGTGAAGGGTACGGTGTAAATCACCCTAACAACGTGTATTGGCAGTTACCCCCATGAAGGCAAATACAAGATCCACTTAAGACATGAAGAAAGGTGCGACCTGACCAAGGCGACAACCTGACTGAGCAAATGAGGCACATGTTGTATACAACTTTATGCCATGCGGTGAAATTAAAAAAAAAACGATAAACAATCTTTTCAAAGATTTGAGTCATCAACCAACACCCACATTCATCACCAAGTAATTATCGCAAACAAATAGCACGACAGAGGTAAAATGTTTTAAAAAAAGGTGAAAAACAACTAAAACCTTCACTTTATTTCATATTAAAAAAAGTTACAAAACATTTTTATGCATTTTCTTACGTGCAAGAAGAAAAAAATAAATATGTTGTCAATGTGATAGATTAGGCTGACTGAATGTCAGCTCTGCTCACGTTACTGAAGGTCATCAGACGACCGAAGCTTAGCACAACCGATCGAAGGCCATTCAACTGACTGAAAGGCTGCCAACCGACTGAAGGCCAATCAGATGACAGAAGGCTATGCAAACGACCGAAGGCTATGCAGACGACTGAGGGCCAATCATATGACCTAAGTTCACTCAGAAGATAGATAGTTGATCAAACAACTGAAGACCAAAATAACTGACCTAAAGCCTCAGGAGATCACATCAAAGCCAACAAGGCAAAATGGAATCTTTACATACAGACTACTCAATTATCATGCATTTATAAATCTAGCACTGAAACTTCAATTTTTATATGTATGACACTTAATTTATGCATGAAAAAGGTGCATTTCATTTTTTCTAATTTTAAATAGTAATTTTTTTGAGGTGATATGAAAGTTATTGTTGGTATAAATATAAGAAGTAAAGTTTAGATGATAAATATGTAAATACATATGGTATATATGTAAACGCGCAAAATAATTTGTAGGAGAGGAGAGAAGAAGAAGGGTTGATGTTTCTTATTGATTGGAGGGATGGCGACTGCTGGATCAGAGTAAAAATGAGGAAAGAGGTGAGGGGGTGACTTCAACGGAAAATATTTGCGTACATAAGACGCACACAACGCTGCATACGTTCAGGTGTTATTCAGGGAATATAAGGGGGTTATATCGGAGTTATAGCCTTTGTAACTCTCATGTAACCTCTTTATAAATTATTTGTAACTTATAAATGAGTTTCGTACTTCTGTAATTTCATGAATAAAAATAAGTTATAGAGATCTCCAAGACAGTGTAGTTATACGGAGATTAATACAGGGTACTTCTGTAATTTCATGAATAAAAATAAGTTATACAGATCTCCAATTAATACAGTAGTATAACCCATGTAACCTCTTAACCCCTGAATAACCCCTCAATTTTCCGACTTCGACGGAGATAATCGGCTGCCCTGTTCGGGAGAACTAAAATCTAAATCGGAAGAATACGCTGTGCGGGAAGTCGGTGTCGAACACGGGAATCGATCGTAAGCTGCGGGAGTGAAGCTCTTGAAGGCGGCGTGCTGGCGGTCGCGGCTGGAGTTGGCCACGGGTACGTAATTTGTGCGAAGTGAGAGGAGTTCGCGCGGTTTGGTTTGCGTGCAGTCCTGTTCGGTTCTTACACCATCAATCTCTCTACCTGCTCGAAGAAATGTCTCACCGACAGCGTCAGTCAGAAGGCTCATGGTTCTCCATGCGTAACTTTCCCAAAGCTAGAAGGTTTTTAAGGTGAGGCTGGGTGACTCGAGAGTGGTTTCTTCATTGAAAGTAATCTCTGTTGAGTCCCTAATTCTTTAAGGCGTGTTTTTTTTTTTTTTTTCGTTTAGCATTGAACTGGCTAGCCTTATCTAGTCCTAATCCATCTCTCACTTCATTGCGTCTTTTGCACGGAGTCTTGTGGTACATGAGACTCGTCTAATCAAGTTTTGTTCCGCTAAAATTATAATTTGCAGACCTAATGGATAGGTTCATTTCTTCTGATCTCTTGAATATCTTTATTTTTTTCCTACTTCTTAAATTTGCCAGATTCGTTTGGAAGTACTGAGCAAGTTTTTTTGTTTTGGTTAGAATTACAATTATCATTTGGGTTCGGTTTGTTTGTACATTAAATCAAATTTAAACAATATATGATCCTAGAACTATATCCAAATGATTTTGTTACAATAGTTAATGTGAATCTTAGATTAAGCATTTAGTGGTGTTTTTGGATATTGGATTTTTATTAAACTTGCTTTAATCTTCTTTTCCCACCAAAAGGATGGTGACATTAATATGTTCGTGGATTGCTACCATGAAACAATGGGCATCTCTTCGAACGAATGCTGACTCCTAGTTGTTTGATAGGAAGGAATTAATAAAAAATAAGAACAACTAGGCAAGAAAAGCTTCTTGATTTTATTATCAAGAATCACAGCTTTTATAGTTACAAACAATATGAACCCATATATGCGAACAAACCAAAAGAAGTTAAGCTGTTTGTGACTAACTGCCAGATTATTAGATACTTCTTAACAGAACGATTATTTAGTAACAAACTCAACACAAGTACTGGCTCTTTAATCTACTTCATACTATGTCTTGAAATCCTTTAAAAGAATTAAAATCTCTCTTCATTTTTGTGATTACCATTTCCTTGTTTTAACTTGTTTTGAATTTATCATTATTGTCTTCATTACTGTTTGTTCAATTTCCACCCTCCATCTACTCTATTCCTATACAATGTCTTCATTTAAAAAAAAATTAAGAGATTTTCGTACAATTTCCACCCACCAACTTGTTTTGACTTTATCATTATTGTTTTCATTACTGTCTGTTAGTTTCCACTCAACAACTACTCTATTCCTAGACAATGCCCCAATTACCATTTCCTTGTTTCAACATGTTTTGAATTTATCATCATTGTCTTCATTATTGTTTGTTCAATATCCACCCACCAACTACTCTATTCGTATACAATGTCCCGATTTAAAAAAAAAAAAAATTAAGAGACCCCCCCAATGAGAATAAATCTACATGCAAGGTGGAGAACAAGATTAGTTAGCATAAGGAGCTAATAATCTTCCAAGTAGCATCTTGGACATTTAAATTTTCCTATTGACCAATACTTTAAACTGCTTATTACAAGGATAATTTGTTATCTTGGTGGCCAAATTAACTAAGGAAAGATTATTGGTCAATTATTCTAAAAGGCAACAAAGTGCTCCTTTTAGTAAATTGATCTTTTTTAAATGGTTTTAAAACTGAAATGAAATACCAGATGAATGCTTGGTAGGTTACTTTTGTAAGTTTTTAGGTTAGTAACATGAGTTTTGTGAAGTGATGCGACAAGAAAAATAGATATTCTAAGCTAGTTTTAGATTTTATCGAGGTGTTAATATTTTTTTTGCTTTTAAAAAGTGAAAGCTTGATGTGCCATTGTGCCGCAAAGAAATGCATCAGCCTTTAGAATAGTTAAAGGTGCCATGAGAGATGCATGGTTGGCAATGAAGCTATAGTAGTACCTTTTTTAACCAAGAAAACCACACAACTAATGGAAGAAATTTTGAGTAGGCTATTATTGTATGACCTATAATTTCCTAGTATCATTCATTACTCCTCTTAGCCATGTCACATGGCCAATGTATGCAACATTGCTTCACAAAAGAACTACATTTAGTCATTTTAACTAACATTTGACGTTTGTGCAAGCATTAATGGACCAATATTAAGTGCTCTGTATGATCATCCATAGATGTGCTAAGCCAATATACCATCTATATAGTTGAATGCCATATGACCAAACTCAGGTTCAAGAGTTGGATAGCATACTGAAGCGGACCGCCAAATTCTATTGTCTAGTTGTTCTGTCGAGTTGACAAAGTAACGAATGTGAATAGCTGAGTATCGGCTGCGTCGTGTACCAACTATTGAGTTCGAGTTGCTATTTCACCTACTACGATCAGCTCGCCCATTTGGCAAAGGGACGAGATTGACCTCATTGTCTAAGAGATAGTCTTAATCGAGAAAGGCAACTCACCCTAAAATCAAATTGTTTTGCACCAAATTATCTTAAAGGCCGAGTAGGTCGACAAATATTTGGCCTGACGAGCGTATGGGAAATAGATATTGAGATGCAAAAGATGACAAAATAGGATAAATCGGAGATTGTTAGGGATTTATGTGTAATAAATATCTATTTTGTATTTTATGAGAAAACTCTCTATAAACAGAGAAAAAATCACGTAACAAGAGATCGATCCTTGAAAACTATTTTTTAAACAATTTTCTCCCCTAAAAGAGAGCGATATTCCCCCTCAACTAGCTCACCCCCACTCCTTAACTTTTTCTTTGAGGTGTGAGTCCTCAGATAAATTGAGATCCAACATCATTGAAAAAATGATTTTTTATTTTTTTTTTGCAAAAGTCTAGACTCATTAAAGGATTTGAATGTAGAATAGGTGTTTGTTAGTCCGAAGGGAATCACTAGAAACTCAAAATGATAATCATATGTACAAAAAAACATCTTATGAATATCTTCGTGGTGCGTATTGATCGTCAATCCAATTTGGAAAAACTACTGCACCTTATAATCAATTTTGGGAATTGGGAACTTTTCTTTGGGAGCTCACACAAAAACATCAATTATCATTACTCTTCTTTACTAGTATAGCACGAATTGAAAAAAGCTTTGGATTGCTTGAGTGATCCAAATGGCACACATTTCTTTGACTATTCAACATTTTTTTGAAAGAGGGGATATCATTGTGGACGCATGTTGATAGGTTAGCTCCCACCACTAAATTAATATGATGATAAATAATGCAATTAGGGGAAAACTATTGTGGAGTATCAAATGCTATTTTGAATTTAATCGAAATAGAGTATATTGAAGGTGGTAATTGGTTGTGTAGTGCAAACGATATATCATGTTATCACGTGAAAATCTCTTTAATATCCTTTATTTTCAAAATATTCAATATAACTTTTATTAATAATCCCTTGTATTTGGTGAAATATTATTATTTCTGATGAAGTGCCGGTTTGCCATGAAGTTGGGTAATTTTTTTCTATCAAGGAAATTGCTCAGCCAATGCCTTATAATCATGCAACATAGACCCCAAATTTTGTAACTGTAGCATCTTGAAAATGGGATGAGCATCCTTCAAAACTAACATGGACAAATTCATGATAAAATGCCTACCCTATTGCTGCGACATTTCTTCCTACGTAGCAAAAGTTTGATATTTCCAGTTACTACCTTATGCAGCTTTGTTATTGAGATAGGAGTTCCCAAATAATTAGCCGCATGCTCTAGTATCATCTTAGAAGTGCTTTCGTTGATAACTATTACTCTAGATAGCCTTAAACGGTGAGAATTTAATTGGCTGATCAGCTTTTAAATTGATTCAACCCAAAAGCCTATAAAATTTACTTTGGCATTTATCTTTAGAATCATCATCACAATTAAAGCATAAGCCTTATTTTCAATTGGAGTTTTGCGGGGTAGTGTTTTGCATATTAATAAATCATGTGATGATGAAGGTGTTGTAGGCTTGGTTGTACCAGAATTAAAAGGAGAAGTTATTGCACCCAATTGTAAAACTATCATGGGTAGCTTAGTAGAAATAGATGAGGTTTGAATGTATTATGCAACCTTGGATGACATGCTTCTCTATAAGTCTTGATCATAACTTAGTGTAGAGATTGCATCTAAGCTGTAATCAAATTAACTTTTGGTTCTATGCATCCTCACTATTCCATAGCATCCCATTATATCAGTGTTTTAATAATCAAAAGTTCTCTACATTGAGTTGGTTTCAAACCAAAAATGAAAAAGTTGACAATTGAAAAATCAGAGAGTTATATTGTGTATGGGAGATCTTAAAATGTTGTTTGACATGAAAAAAGTGCTTATCTAAGTTAGTTTTCGTCACAACCTGCATTAGCCAAGACAGAAACAAATGCTCAGATGGTGGGAACTAATTTCTATATTCATTTACTATTTAATAGATGAAAGATTCACTATACAAATTATATATAAACATCAAAATTAAATCTATCTCATTATTGGTTGATCGCATTTTCTATACATTTTTTTCTCTTCTATCGTTCATCTTTTAATCAATTAAATTAATCTGAAAAGTTAACTTAAAAATAATCACGAGCTAAACAAACCATTGAATACTCGTACTCTTAAACTATAGTAATACAATAAAAAAAGAAAGCAATATAAATGTTAGTTACTTTTTTTAATAAACCAATATAAGTATTTGAGATTGCTATTTAATGAATGTTATATCAACAACATACCATTATTATTTTGTATATGTACAACCGTCACAGAAACACTCTCTAAATAAATTATACCACTTAAGGTACTTCAATATCAATATTTTTTGCATTTACGTACATTTGGTTGACTCAATTATAGTCAATCCTACGCATACAAGAATCTAATAAAAGTATCAATTTCTAATAATAAATATTTATTTATATATGTATATGTATATGTGCACTCTAAATGTATAAAATTCTTATATTAATATTATAATTACAAAAAAAAAGCTCTCCTTTATAACACTATCATCGGTCGGGAAAAATATTACATCAGAACTCCTGACCTCGAGCTACGTTCGGAGTCCACTGATATGAGGACACATGATTTCAAGAAAATGAGCTTTTTTACTGATATGAGGACACATGATTTCAAGAAAATGAGCGTTTTTCTGTGATCCGACTCGATAACACAGGAGAATATTCCTCCTGTGTTATTCCACGTTATTTGGGTGTTATTGTAGTGGTATTGATGTGTTATTGTGTTATTATAACACCGGGTATATTCCCAAAACACAATAACACATGAATACCACCATAATAACACATCAATTATGCAGAATAACACAGAGGGAATATTCCCCTGCACTAAAACGATTTTTTTTATGTTTCTGTCACCTCCACGTGGCGTCATTTCATTGGACTCCGAATGTAGCTCTACGTCAGGAGTCCTGGTGTAATATTTTTCCCATCAGTCGAGCCCTACGCACGTGACCCGTTTCTCTACACGCGGGAGAACTCTGACATCGGCTCCCTCCCGCACGAGCTCCCTCTGCTACTGCGATCGACATCACCTCGTCCTTCTGCACCGAGCACAAGTTGCATTCAATCTCTTCTCTCGCAGTGAAGACATCGCAGCTAGGGTTGGCCGGCCTCTTCTTCCTTACGGCTTCTTCTTCCTTTGCGCTCGCACGCTCCACCTTTGCACGATCCGGCGTCGCAGCTGCTGATCTTCTCCTCCGTCCAACGCTAGCCTCGTCTCCTCTACTTGAAAGGTAAGTCGTCTGACAATTTATAGATAAAAATTTCATCTCATTAGCTTCCCGACACTTCTTACTTCCTCTCCTCCCTCTTCAGTTTATTGTGAAAAAATTCTGTTCGGACTTCGGACGTAGCTCACATGTAGACTCTAGTAATATGCCACACATGTGCTTCATCACGGAGGTTATTGGGGGGAGGTTATTGAAGTGAAACAACGGAGGTTATTAGGGGTTATGCAGGGGATTATTGAAGTGGAACCGCTGAGGTTATTTGGGGGTTATTGCAGGGAGTTATTGAAGTGAAACCGCGAAGGTTATTGGGTGGTTATTGTTGGGTTTATTGCAGGGGATTATTGGAGTGGAACTACGGAGGTTTTTGAGGGGTTATTGCGGCATTGTTGGAGTTAATACCCCAATAATCCCGCAATAACCCCCTAATAACTTTTTGATAACTCTCCAAATAACCTCCGCAGTTCCACTTCAATAACCTCCGCGGTTTCACTCTAATAATTTCCGCGGTTTCATTTTAATATTTTTTAGATAGGCCCGATATTAATACATATGGCGGTATATTACTGAGAATCTGCATGTAGAGCTACGTCCGGGCACAAAATTTTTTCGATTTCCTGAGTCTTCGCATCCTCTTCTCCTCTGTTCAACTCTTCATTTCCTCTTCCTTTGGTTTCCCCATTTCCTTTCCCCCGGTTACAAAAATGGTACGTTCCATTTTTAAGGATTTTCCAAAAGATCCACACATTGCAAATGCGGAAGCAAGCTTGTAACTATTGGAGGATGTTGAGCCACATTAGGTTTTGATCCTTCACCTTCGACCATTCGTACTAGTTTGTGGCCATGCCTCGAAATAGTGGGAAATGATGTAGCTTCACTAAATTACAGGAATATTAAAATTGAAGTATTCGTCAACTTTGTCCAAATATTGACATTATGTCCACTAAAATTAGTTAGTTCTATCTTTATCATTCGCATGTATGGAAATGTTTGCTGCTTTACTAAATGAATTCATTTTAAAAATGGCTTCAACTTAGTTATCCCCATTACTTTCTTCTTGCAGGATTCTATATGGTCTAGACTGAGTTGAATTCTCTATTTGTTTTTCCATTCCCATCATCAATGATTAAAACAGCTTGAGTGTTAGATTTCTGCAAACATAACGCTGAATCTCAATAATCTGATTTTCATTTTGAGATTGCATTGCTCTCAGCGCATCTGCCAGGTTTGAGCTCATCATGATCTGAATTAGAGCACAGGTTGCTACCTTCTTCGATGGCTACAGTTATCTCTTTGAGCATACATTGACCCCCACTTGCTGGACATAAGTAAAAGAAGAGAAAGTGGAAACAAATTGGCAGGAAACATTACTCTGATTTATAACCAATAATAGTAATATTTATAGTTACAAACCATGGGAACTCATCTTTGCAAACAAAACAAAAATAATCACTCTAGTTGTAAATAAGAGATTATCAACCACATACCAATCGAAACAATCACTTAGTAACAAACTCATTACAAGCTGAGGCATATCTCTCTAACCAACTCCATACTGTCTTGAAATCCTTTAATCAAACTGGAAACTATCTTTGTCTTTGAGAGCACCGTTCTTGTTTTTCATTTTTTACTGTTGTTTCCAATGTTGACTTTTTAAGTTCCACCCAACCGCCATGTTGTTCCTGTATAATGTCCTGATTAAAAAATGTGTCATTACGGGCATAATGTATAGTGTGTAATGAAGTTCATCCAATTATATTCAGTTGAGGGCTATGTCTCAATAGCCAAAATTTGAAGTTCTCTTGTTACGGTTTATTGTTGATTGATTAATAATGGCTATAGAGTTGACACTCTGGTTGTTGGTTCAGGAAATTTGGTTTTGAAAAAGAGGATATCTACTTTTGGAAGCAGATGGGGAAAGCAATGCTCTGTACTTATACGATATTTGGACTTGCGTGGTTGTGGAATGAGACATCTCCACTTGGTTGGTGGACGTTCAGGCCAAGGCCAAAGGTGAAGATGCTCTTTTTTATATATTTTGATGTTATTATTACTATTGCAGTTGTGGTTATCTAATACACAACCCATGAAAACCATTTATTGAAAAATCAACTTTGATAAAAATGCTGCCTTTCTGACTATTGCTATAGTTCCAGGACACCTTAGCTTCTTCCCATCCAATTAAAGCACTTTTTTGGCATTAGAATTGGCTCTTTGTCTAAGTTGATTGCTGAACTTCTATAATCACCATAAGGCTCTTGGGCTCATCTAATGCTAATTTGGAAGATCACTTGAGTAAATTAGATTTAAGTGGCGTAAATGATTGAATTTGATTGCCAATTACCAGCTAAGATGTTAAGTTGTGATATGAAATAGATATGATTTAGTGAGGTCTAACTGGATATGATGGTGTAAGGAACATGACTGGTTCTTGGATGGATACACTAGTTTGACCGAGTGCCTTATGGTAGGTTGTGGAGTGATTATGAGGCCTTTGATGATGGTTTGTTGGTCTTGCAGAAGCAGATGTTTTGTGGGTTTAGAGTAGTTTTTTGAGACTAGCTAATAATTTTAAGACGCGATAAATACTCAACTCACCAAGGATAGGCACAATCGTGAAGCCTCCAAGCAACTAATTAATGGAAGAGCAGTTTTACATAAAAACTATTTCATTTAATATTTTAAAATTTTATTACATATCATCACATATTTATAGCATCAAAAGACCCGGGGGCTTCCATTTTTTAAGAGAAAAATGAGATGGGATGGTTGGGCTAAGGGGGTGGGGGTGCGACCATTAAATGGGTGGAGTGGTTCTGACATGATATTTAATACAACTCATTTCACATGCAAATTTCTTTTAGGGGTCAGCCACTACATGGCTGCAATGAGCAATGAAAATATAAAAAATATAAAATTACAACTAAGTAGATAAACAAGGCATGAAAACAATTCTAATTATGGGAATCGACATGACCTCTCTTGATCATGGAATTTAGTTTGTTAGGATTTGACCCAATGTCTGATATAACCATCCCACATAGCATCTTGCATTAAATGAGGTGCACTATTGTTTTTCTTAAATGGCGACGAGCCATATTGAAGGTTTGAATTAGACACCTACCTATAATCCTCCCTTGAGCATTTCTTACTGTGTTTGTCATCCTTTGTGCCCGTGAAACTGACTTAGAAGTATAAAAGAAACACACTGAAATGATATGAGGCAACAAAATACATTGATTAATTTTTAGATCTTATAAATGTCGATTCATATGAAATTAATTTATCTTGAATCAGTTTAGCAAGGCACTCACCAACATAGGGTCAACAAAACTAAAAAATACGGTAGTCAAGCAATTGATACTATTTTAGTTTTGAAATAATATAAAAGTATTAATTAAAATGAATTACCTTTTTTGAATGATATCACTTATATGAAGGCGATTGCCGACCCCACCCCCACCCCACCCCACCTCATGCAAATTGATTGCCCGGTATCACCCTAACTTGAAAAGCCAGACGCCTCCCCTTATGCTTCCAAGACCCTCACCCATTTCCATAGTTTCTAACTATTTTTGTCTACATCTAAATCATAAAATATTATTTTAATAAACAAAGCATAGAAATGCAAAGATTTGGCCGAGATATATTTAAAGTTATAGAAATGCAAAGATTTGGCCGAGATATATTTAAAGTTACATGATTAAAAATTTGAGAACAATCATAATCGAAATATTTAAACATAAATAAAATTAACTATATATGAATACAATTAAAAAAGTCATTGATATTCAAAAATAAACTTAAAACAATGGAGTACAAAGATAATCAAATTATATAATGTTTTGAATAAAAATAGTTAGATCATCACCTATAGCAGCCATTGAATTATGCACAGGGGCGTATTTTCAAAGAATTCTCTAATTCAAATTCATCTTACTCATCAACTTAATTCTCTTCATCCATTCTATCTCCAGGAAGAAAGAGAAATGGCTCACTTGTATGAGCGAAGAAGATTCCCGTATCCTGGCGACAAGGAGGCAGTCGAGGAGTTCATTTTAAAAGGTGGTATGCTTGGGACTACCATTGGACCCAAAGGAATTGAAGACTTGGACAAAGACAGTGAGAATTTCCAGAAGAAACTGCAGTCTGAGAAGTTTGATCAAGAGGCTAAGAAGCTCTGGTCTCGCATGAAGAATGAGGTCATTCAGGAGCTTCAAGAGAATGGGTTTGAAATCAGAGATAAATGAATGATTGTAAATAAATGGCAGGTATTGCTATAGTTTCCGAACCAGGAAAATACTACTGCTTTGTAAGTCCTTTGAAGCATTAATAAACTTAAATTGTTGTTCTTTACTTGTTGTAATAGACTGTTTGTAAGGAGTCGAACTCTACTGTACTTTTTATAAATTCCCTTACATTTTTTATTTGTAAGGAGTCGAACTCTACTGTACTTTTTATAATTTCCCTTACATTATAAAAAATTGATTTCTCTAAGTTATTTTGTTCTCTTTTTTTCCGCCAGCATGTTTTCTTTACTTTCCCTGTGCATCTGATATTGTTAGTGATTTTTTGTTCCATCTTTGGGCGAGTTCCCCGAGTCCTATATGTCTTCAGGTATTTGTTCATTTTTGTGGGGTTCATCCTTCTGTATGTGAAATACACAAGATAAGGCTACTGTGGTTTATATTTACTTATTCATGTGTGTTTAAGCTAAATATGTTTCTAAGAAATTCATTTATGAATTCGATCCGCTATAAGCATTGAATTCCTTTTAGAAAAAGGAGAATTTCCTTAAGCAGGGACTAACCTTTCTTAGGAGATTATTAACTCTCCTTTAGGTCTCGCTCTTTTGGGAGCTTTTGAGCAACTCTTATAATATTTCATTGCCTGTGGCTCTCAAATCTTCCCAATAGAGGGCAATTCATACCATCTTGGCAAAACTTTCTAATATTTTTGGTCGTAATGACTCATGTTGGGTTCATTTCATAAACAAATATTGATAACTTGAAGTGGGAAATGTAGAGTTTGCACATGAATTGAAATGTGTGTAATAAATACTTAGCTTTTTGGTGAACATTTCCCATCGGAGGGATAAAATATCTTCAGGTCATCTCCGCTGTAGATTCTGGGTTCTTCTTTGCCAATTAGATAATGGGCTTGTTTGCTCCAAGTTTAGTTTATTTTTTGGTGATGATGATGTTAGGTCTAGTCTATGAAGGGTCCAACTTTCCTAAAGCTTGATTGCGAGCTACGACATTCATCTTTTTTAGTATCAGATCGACCATCTTGAATTTTCTCTTATTAACTTTTGTGTTGTAGCCATCATTCTTTTAGTTTCTTCTTGATCTAGGGAATATTGATCCTTGAGTTCCTCTATGAAATCTAGAGAGTTGTTGGAGCCTTTTTTGTTTTTTATTCTTCGTTCTTCTAAACCAGATTCTTCAAAATTCATCATGGCTAGTACCCGTTGGTTATAAACTATGTATTCCACTGGAAGCACTGCTTTAACTCCATATGACAAGAAAAAAATAGTTTTCCAATAGATATTTAAGGTGTGGTTCAAAGTGCCCACATTACTTATGGTAAAATTTCAACCCATTTATTCTTTGGGATGATGAGCTTATTGGCATCTTCTACATGATCATTAGTTTTGGAATAGTAAAAAAATGTGAAGTGAGGCATGGTGAATATCTCCTGTTTAATACAAATTCCTTCGCTTTTTGATCAGTGAATTGGGTACTGTCGTCGATTTCAATTATCATAGATAAGTCATATGTGTAAATAATGTCAATCCAGATGAATTTTTTATACATGTCAGGTATGATCCTGACCAGAGACTTGGCTTTGATCCCCTTCGAGAAGTAGTCGACCATAACTAGAATATATTTTTGTTTTCCTTTATCAGGTGAAATAGCCCAAGGATATCCATTTCCCACACCGCAAAAAGCCAAGAACTATTTATTGGATATAATTTATGTGAATGTTGCAACCCCATGAGGGTTAATCATTGATTATGTTCTTATATTTTGGAAGATTCTTTAGTATCTTTCGTTAATGTCGACTAGTAGTAACTTGGTCTCTGTTTCTGTTTGCCAAGTATCTTCCTCCAGAATGGCTTCCACATTCTCCAAAATGAAATTTTAAGACCTTTGTTGTCTCTTCTTCTTTGATGCATTTGAGAGAAACGAAATTCATCGACTTCCTTAACAATTCATCATTGTTGACAAGGTAATGTGTGGATTTAATTCTAAACTGTTACAGATCCTTGATTACCGCTAGGATGACTCCTGTAGATAGATATCCTTTAATTGGATCGATTCAACTTGCAGTAAACTCTGACTCAACTCTTACAACTTCAACCGCTTTGACTGTGGGTTGGTGTAGAGTCATATGCCATTTGTTTTCGATGCTTTCTCCCTTAGAATGGAGGCCAGCAGATTGATTTTTCTTCTGTGGAATATGCTCAATATGGAAATACTTGAGTTTACATATTTCAACAATGGCTTTACCATATATATGGGCATTATGTCAACTTGTACCTGTATGACCCATCAAATTGATTGATAACTAGTTTTGAATTAGATTTAACAAGTGTGTCACTGTAAATCTTAGAGATAATCTCAATATGATGATCAGAGCTTCATATTCCACTTGATTTTTAGTTGCGTCAAAGTTAACTTTGATGGAATGATAGTATATGAATCTAGAGGGACTTGTAGAACCATGCCTACTCTCTTTCTTTGATTTCTAGATACCCTGTCTATGTAAACTATCAAAAACTCTTCCTCATCACCGCCGACTTCTTTGTTTCCCAATCCTTTGGAAAAATTAGCAAGGAATTCAGCGACTATTTGGGCTTTAATTGTCGTTATAGGTATGAATGAGATGTCGAACTTGCTTAATTCTACCGAACCTCAAGTAGTCTCCTAGAATGATTAGGCTTTATTGTTTCTGATTTGAATGGGTGGTTTGTTATTATGTCCTTGACACAAGCTTGAAAGTATAGGCACAACTTTCTTATGGAGATAATTAACTCCAATACGAGTTTTTTCATTTTCAAGTATCTCCGTTCAACTCCTTGTTGGACTTGCTTACATAGTAAATGAGAAATTGTTTCTTGTTATCTTCTAAAACTAAAATTCAATTGACTGTCTCTTTCCTGACTCCTAGGTAGATAAATAAATCCTCTCTTGGCTTGAAATTTTATGGCATAGGAGGTGATGACAATAAGGCCTTCATTTGTATGAATGCTCGGTTGCATTCTTTGGTCCAAGAAACATGACTGGAATTATTCTTTGTTTTGAGGAATGGAAAGTACCTGTCTTCGAATTTTGATGTGAATCTATTGATCCTGTGATTCGTCAAATCAAGTTTTGCAGTTCTTTAAGTTTTAAGGAGGTGACATATAGTATGGCTGGATTTTTTTTTGAAAATTGACTTTATTCTTTCGAGTGTGAGCATATATCCTAAAAAATTTCTCGAGCTCAACCTGAAAGTATATTTTAAAAGATTAAGTGTAAAGCTAAACATTTTTAGAGCAGCAAATGTTTCCCCCAAATCTTACATGTGTTGTTCGGGCTACCTACTCTTCACTAGAAGATCATCTTGATAGATTTCAACATTTTTTATTGATGTGAGAAAATTAAATCCATCAACTTTTGACAGGTTGCTCTAACATTCTTCAAGCTGAAAGACATGACATTATCACGGTACTCTCCTGTCGTGATGAAGTCCTGTCGTGATGAAGGCGGTCTTTTTTGCATATACATGTTGCATCTTGATTTGGTGGTAGCTAAAGAAGGCATCTAAAAAATTTTGATTGAATGTCACACTGCAAGGGTGAACTAATGCATCAATTCATGGAAGTAGGTGGTTGTCTTTTAAATATGTTGAGTTATGCTTGGTGAAGTCTATTCACATTATCTATTTTTTGTTGGCCTTTCCAAACATTGCGCCATTCGCCAACCATTCTAGATATTGTACTTTCTTGATAAAGTTGGTGTATACTTCCTACTGGATAAGTTCTACTAGGGCTATCAAAAACCTCATCATTTGTGAAGAGTTAGCGTTTGACTTGATACAAAGCTTTTTCGGTTCTTTCGATGAGCAAACGAGCCGAATACACAATTTTTTTTGGGCTCAATTTATAAACAAGCTGAACAATAACATGCATGTGTTTGATCGTGTTCGGCTCTTTATTGTTTGAAATAGAAAAAAATACTTCTAAATATTTATATGTAAAACGTTGTTATTATATAGTGAAAATTATTATTTATCCATTAAATTAGGAAAAAAAAATATTAAATAATTAAAATCATATTATTAAGTAATTTGTTTTGAACCGATCAATTGATTATAAATGGTTGGCTTGGACTAAATACCAAAATTTTATCACGTCATAAATATTTAAATTAAAACCCCTAATCTAATTTCCTAAATACCATATTTGGCTTTTACTATCTCCTAAACCCTAACTTGTAGCTGTCTACATTCATGTGGTTTCGTTTAGAGTAGGGAGATTCTTCCAAGAAAACCTTTGCTAGGGTTAGGGTTTTCGCTTCGTCGTTATGCAAGTTCCTTCACATCTTTCACAAATAAAGGAGTATTCATCTCTTAATCTTTCGCTTGTAGCTTGTGTTGTGTGACTTACCTATGTGAGCTTTCTTTGTTTTGAATTTGAATTCTCCTCTCATTTTGTCATTTTTGTGATAGTTACTTGGGTAACCCCTCTCTTTTCTCTAATTTTTATTATTTGCAGAAGATATTATCCCATTTGCGGCTTGGATGTGAATATGGTTGTTTTTTTCTCTTTTTAGGTTTGGTACTTTGGTGAACCAACGATGGGAAGTCATAATATTTTGATTTATGGTGATGCTATGTTTTCTGAGTACTTATATTAATTTGGTTCTTTAGTTTGTCTTTTTGTGGTTTGAAATATTCTAATAGTTGCATGCAAACTATCAATTCTATGAAAGAAAGGAAGTCAACCCCTTTATATTATATCTTTATTGACAGAAATTTTCACATAAAAGAGCAAGAAATAGGTGGTTACAGATAGATTTAATATTGGAGTTGTATGCAACTATGATATATTTTGCTTGTGAATTCATGTGAATTGAAACTCCTCTATGAGAATCTGATTTTTTTTTTTTTTTTACTTAGAGTGATGACTATATATTGCGACAATCATGCATTTATTTACATTACCAATAATCCTGTTTTTTTATTAACGCTTCAAACATATTCAAATCGATTACCATTTTAACAGAGATCTTTTTATTTACATGAAAAATATCATTTATACTTTGTTTTGAAAAAATGGTGTGCATTTTTAGAACGATGAAGAGTACGAAACTTACAATTTTATTATTAGACATTTACATACATATCAAGTATTTACATGCTT